TGTACCCAGTATGTCGCCGTTTGGTAATAGTACTATTAAGAGAATTGATGTGAAGGGGAAACGCATACCTTCAACAAGAATCGATTCAGGCATAGCTTGTGCAAACGCACTTTAACAATCTCCGGATGAGATGCTGTCAATTGTTGTCCGAATGGAACGACTTGTCCAAGTGCAAGATCGAAAGGAGCACGTACCCTCTTCCCGGTAAAATAGGCCTTCTCTCCCGAAACTCGATCCAGTTCCGGTTTGTGATACGGGAAGTATTTATCAATATTGAGGTTCTATCGCTTGAATATTTCCTTCCCGCGGTGCCTCCAGTATCGAACCATGATTCTGGGGATGAAGATGAAAAACGATAAGTAGAAACAGTTCATGCACCAAAATAAGGACTGTAGCAGAAAAGTGACAACAATCATAAGCATCTCTCATGATGGTAACCAGGGAGTTCGGGAACAACCGAGGCTTTTGCTAAACTGCATTCAGCAGAAGCAGCAAGCTCACCATGTATGGGGGAATTTCTTACGGGTCTTCGGAATACCACCGCAATCAGTAGACGGTTTGAAAACGAAGCAAAACACTTGCATCACCAGTCAGAGCGAATTTGTTACCATTGCATTACCAAGAACAGAAGTACGGCACTGCACATTTGATTGCATTGAATGAAGGTTTCAGTTAGGAAAACGGGTGGAAGAACAGAAACCTAGGTGGAGAAAGTTCGTGGTTCACACCTTGTAACACTGACAGAAGTACCCACATATGTCGGACATCGGGGCTGTGTAGTGTATCAAAATTAGAGAACTATCCAGTTGCCATAATGGCAACAACAACAACAACGAATGGCCGGTTGGGTGATCAGCTGGCTATGAAAAATTTTGGTTGATAAGCCGTGGTCACTATATCTTCCGCCAGATATTTCCTTACTCCTTCATCTTCCGTTTTCACCCCACTTACACATCAGGGCTTTCTTCGAACGAACTGGTGCCTGCATAAAAGTAAAGCACTGGTTTTGTGCCAGTCGTGACGATTAACATCTAAACCCAACAACCAATCGGTCCTTAGCAAGAGTGTCAAGTCACACCGGACTTGAGTAAGTGCCCTCTTAACCGGGTTTCCGAGTTTCAGTCGAACCAAACATTGACCAACAAGAATGAATACTTCCGTGTACCCTGATATCAGAATGGATTCCACCTTCAAAAAGCGT